GGTACTCAGCAATGGCAGCCATGTTTGGCTTTATCTGTCTAAGCCTCTCTTCTTCAACTTGAAAGTGTGTTGACAAGGATACAGTATTTTATGAAATAACTGTTGAACAGCTATTTCATAAAAGACTGTATCCTTTTCAACACACTGAAGCTGTTCAGGGGTTAAGGTGGGTAGGGTGGATTCCTCTTGTTGATCAGACAAACCAATTGATTGAAGGCACAGCTTACTTAACTACATGGTGAGAAAAAGCAACATTTTAAAAATATTTTAATATTTATAAATTAAAATTCATAATGATAGCGATAAATAGAGTGGAAATAAAATGCACTGACTTATGACCTCCAACCTTACTTCGTTCTTCCAATGTTTAACTTTATGATGGTTCTCTTTCAAGATACCATCAAACTTCTCCACCTCATGCTTTATGTCGACTTCTTTCTCTCGTAATGCCTGCTCTTTAGCCTCAACAGCAGCATATTCGTTCGCGCTTTTTTTGAGTACTTGCTCTTTTTCTTTCAATTGTTTCTTTGAGAAATAGAGATAACGCAGAAAAGTTACTTTAAATGAATATGCAGTCATCCCATTAACGTCATTCATTCAGTTGTTAAAACATAAAGGCAACAACAAAGTCATGTGCATATAGAAGAGAATATCTTTAGACTCTTTCTTAAAATATATCATTCCATGCTGTTGATTGACATACATGTATGCACTTAAATCATCGCTATTCTCGTACCCAGACCCTAATATTTTATCTGCATTAAACTGGCCAATCATTTTGTTATGATTTCATTTGTTTTTGGTTCAGTACAGAAATAAAGATGAAACACCTTGCTATGAAAATATCGTGTTTCATCGTTAATTATTTTTATTTAATTTATTTTCATTGTTTTCTTTAAGCAATAAAGGATGGATGCCATGCGTTTATTGGTGAAATAAAGCAAGCGGGGATGTTGGGAGAACACGAAAGAAAAAAAAAATGATTATGATCAATATTGCCTAAAANTATTTTAGAAAAGAAATAAAAGGATTTCTGTGTTTAAAATACTCTGATAAAGACATGAGGGAAGTAGGGAGAACACGAGAGAAGCATAGGAAACCACGCGAAATAAATTTTTTATTACCTCGGCATTGCTATGTGTTTGCTGAGCATTTAAAGCTTTTTGCTCAAGAGTTTGAAGTTCATCCTTGACTCTCTTGATTAGTTTCTTCTATTTCTTTCTCCAAATACGCTATTTTGACCTCATTGCTCTTGATACTCCTTAATCTTGTCTTAATCATTAAGACAAAGGATTAAGGAGTATCAAGAGCAACTGAGTTTTAGTGAATGCTAAACGTGCCTGAAAATGTATTAAACATTAATGTAATGTATTAAACAGATAATATATTAAATACAGTAATAGAGAAKTGCATGATCATGATGTATCCGCTGTCCATGACTTGTACCTGCTGTCCCTTCGTTTTCGTCCCGCCAATGTCCATAACCTTCTTATTCAAAGCCTGTACTTTTTTTTCTACCTTGCTTACAGCCTTGTTGGCCTTGACCCATTCCTTTTGGAATATCTTAACTATTTCTTCAAGTTCTTTGAGTTTTGCCTTATCAGGTGTTCTCTTCTGAACTATTTCCTTCCATCTAAATATACTTTCATTGAAGATCACTTCTTGTTCTTTTAGTGCAGCAACATCCATCTCATTTTTCCATAATTGAAGCTCCATTGCAGAGATCTTCTTCTTGAGTTGACGTAACGTATCTTCAAGGTTCTCATTGGACTTGGAATAATTCTGTCACAGCAATTAAATA